AAATAAGGGAAAGTTAATCTACGCCAATTATGGTCATGAAGATGACTTCAACTACTTAGAATCCCAAGGTGTGAACATCACGGGCAAGATAGTCATCGTACGATACGGGAAACTCTTCCGAGGAGGGAAGGCTCAGAATGCCGAGAAGCGAGGCGCCAAGGGTCTCATCATCTACTCAGACCCTGCAGACTACGCCCYTGAGGGTGTCAACAAAACCTATCCTGATTATCGCTGGCTGTCGAGCGATGGGGTTCAGAGGGGAAACCTATGGATGGTGAAGGGGGATCCACTGACTCCTGGCTATCCTGCTACTGGTAAGTATTGGAACTGCGATGCGTTGATCATGTATATAGACAGGACTGGATGTAGAGAAGGCGCTCCTCCCCTCTTTTGTCAGGGGGATTATGTTCTAAAGAAGGATGGCCTTTCTCCAACTTCTGTGATGGAGGCAGGGCCAAAAGAAGCCAGCAACATTTCTTTATTTCAATATGTAACAATGACCTTTGCATTCTCTTTAGACGGAATCTACAGGGTACCCAAGGACGATCTTCCATTCTCTAAGATCCCTGTGCACCCAATCTCATGGTCTGATGCCACACCTCTTCTTAAGTACGTACTCCTGAACAGCGTTATATGATTATAAACTTCATCATCATCATCAGTTCTCGCAGCGTCATGAGTCGCATAAGGCAACGGGAATGGGTTCTTAATCCTCAGTCCAACCACAAACCAAAGGAGGTCAGGAGCTGGTATTTGTCTGGCCTCTCCCCCGAAACCAATCTGGCTTGGTTAAAAATGCCAGCGACCATTTGTCCTCGCCAGTATCTATCGGGTTCTTCGAGGCAGGCAGACCCTCCTCTCGACGATAAGGTTGCAGATTGTTACTTACACTAGTAACAAAATTCAGTACAGCAATCGGCACTTGGAACTATGATTCCAAGTAATCGTTAGTGGAAGTTAGAAATTTAAAGTAGGTGCGCCTCAATGGAATCTGATTTACATGAAAAAGTATTCAGTTTCCCGGGAGAAAAAGACTTTGTTGTGTGATGGCTGCTATAAAGTGACGGTGTAAAGCTTCCATAATCCGAAAAATATATACAGGTCTAGTGAAAGACGTTTTTCGCCCCCACTGATTCTGTGTTTTTTAGTGGGATCAATGGTCAGCAAGATTGTATTGACTTGTGGATTATGCTACTTGTTTAGAACCCTCAAGATAAGAGAAGCACCGAGTGACTGGCAAGGAGGACTGGGATTCAGTTACAATATCGAAATGGATTCATCGGATACAAGGTTTGTCTGCAATGCATTTTGGCAGAACGATCCGCTCTCTCCTTCTCACCTCTCCCACGTCGTCCAGTAAATTATCGTCATATATATCTACCATACAGAGAGGGAACAACTCTTTGCAACCGTGCATGAGAACTATAAAGCTTTCCCATTAGTTAATAATTTTGGTAATCATATTTGTGGCGTAAAAACTATTGAATGTGTAATATTTAAAAGACACAAAGAAGACAGTGAAAATAAAAYATAGTATTCTCTATTAGTCTAACTATAGAGATTGATAGACAGTGAAGAGAACGATGGACAATAGACCTTTTCTGAGATGGCCAACATGCTGCATTGTGGTCTAGCTTGGGTACAAACAACTTTTGTTCATCGTGCCTTATATGGTGTTGTGTGTACCGAAGCTAGACTACAATGCATCGAACTCAGAAAAGGCCTATGAAGGCATGTGATACCATGTGGGATTTGCTTAAGATTGATTCTGCGCGTACGTAATGGATATAATAAAATAAAGGTTAAGAATATGTGTGGCTGTATCCTTGGAACACTAAGTAAATGACTGACGACTGTTTTCTTTTGGTTTATCAGAGAGATCAGGGTCGAAGTGTCGAACAGAATGCAACAAATGCCGGTGTACAAYGTCATTGGCACTATCACAGGATCTGAAGAACCAGGTATATTGCGACCCTTAATCATTCCAGAATATGCGCAAACTAGAAATATATCTTTCAAGAAGGTATACAAACAACACCTTAAGAGTATCAGTGTACGTAAGGAAACGCGAGGTGAGAGCGCGCGCTTCTGTTCAAGTGCCGTACCGTGCCGGTGACCTTGCCGATTTTTTATTTTTATTTTTATTTTTTTCATTGGATAAACGATAATCATGTGTGCTATGACTGGTTTAAACAACTCTATAGCTTTCGCAGGAAGGAAGCAAGATAACAGCTCGACCAATCAAAATAATAGAAACATTCAAGGAATTCAGCTTACTGGGCAGACACCAAGGGGGATAATTTAAACAAACGATACGCAAGCTTAAATTAATGTGTACTACCTTGGTTCACGTGACACAGATCGTTACGTCATCATTGGTTGYCATCGTGACGCCTGGGTGTTTGGTGCTGTAGATCCCTCCAGCGGTGGATCAACCCTGATGGAGACAGCAAGGATGTTAGGAAAGCTTGTCAAAAAAGGCAAGAATTGAATCATTAATTCTTCATAATAGACTTTTAG